AATAAATTCGTTACTGACCTCTATATAGAAATGGAATTAAATTAATAATATTTTTTTTAAGAGAGGATCTATTTCCACTATTGTATTCTATTTTGAAATGAAATCATTAAGATGTTCTTTTAGAGAGAATCTGTTTTGATCATTACATAATTTTTTGATATTCAACCATAAAAAAATAAAAATTTTAATAATGCCAACACTACTACTACTAATACATGCTTTTGACGTTTCTTTAATCCACAAATTGTGGTTTCATAGACGGAGCAAAACAATACCGACATTTTTTTTCTGATAATTAAAAGACATACAAAAACAAATGGCCCAATATGAATTGCTCAGATGAAATTTCATTGTTTTCCTTTTGTTTTCTCTCAGATCCTATAAAAAGTGGTCAGGGCTATCTCTCCCTAAAAGCATATCGTCTGACACCTAAATTGATGGATGTTTGCAAAGAGAAGGATTTTTCTCCAGAAGCGTAAGTGCACGAGGAAATTCTGGGTGTGGGTGGCAGATGGACCGGAGGCATAAAATAGTCAAATCGTTTGCGGTGAAACACTGTAAAACCTACACAGGTATGATATATGTGCTTTCCCAGTAGCTGCAAGTAGTGAGAGCCTTCACGACTGATACAGTAAAGAAGCAAAATTTGCTTCACCAAAGAAAGATTTGCTACGCCTATCATTCCAGACAGAGGACAAGCGCTTAAGGCAAATGAAATTGAGCAGAACAGACGGAAAATACAAAGCTTCAATTCTTCACATAAAAATGTGAAGGTCAAGAATCCTGGTTTTAGCCATTTTACTTTTTGTGTGTCTGTTTATGTATAATTAAAACTTTTAGATATAAAGGGGCTTCTGGTATTCTTCACAGCAATTATATGTACAAATATATTTAAACTCCCCCCCCATCAAGTTTTATCATATTACTCTTCTTTTTATAATCTATCCCATCTAATTATCAAAACCACAATTCAAAAGTTCTTTTTTTTCCTTCATTTTTTTAATGCAAAAAGCACACAAGAGGCTTCTGGTCATCAATAAACGTAGGTAATGTCTTTTCTGTAATCAGTGAAGTTAACTTACCTTTTCAGGAAAAACTGTCAAGTTCACCAACCATTCCTCCAGTCTGGATAGTGTCAAATCTTTTCATCTTTACATATAATAATCTTGCCACAGTCATCTTATATTCATTCCAGTACGCTCCCATAGAGAGGGGCTTCTCAGGGTGCCGTCGGCCAAACAGTGTCGACTGGCGGCCCCCAGGGGGAGAGCCTTCTCTGTGGGGGCACCTACCATCTGGAACGAGCTCCCCCCAGAGATACGGAGGATCCCGGACCTGCGCACGTTTCGTCATGCTCTCAAAACTTTTTTATTTCAGCAGGCTGGTCTGGCCTAACTCTCCTCTTTTAAATTTTTAATTCGTGTGATTTTATAAATTGGGTGTTTTAATCTGTGTTTCGGCCAAAATATTTAATAATTTTAAGGGATTTTTTTAAATATTTGTATTATCTGTATTTTATCTTGGCTGTTCACCGCCCTGAGTCCTTCGGGAGTAGGGCGGTATAGAAATTTGATTAATAAATAAATAAATATTCCATGGTTTTCCCATTGATCCTAAAAGGAGCTGTTTTACTTCTGAGTATTCCCTTGCATATAATAGTCCCTGTTCTAATTTTTAAGACAACTAACAAGGCCTACATAGGTAGGAGCTTGAGGACCACAATCTAGATTGTAACCTTGAGTATCTATGGCCTAATTTACACAATGTGCTTAAAAAGAGCCTTGGTGGCGCAGCAGATTAAACTGCTGTTAAGTAACACCAGCTGCCTGCAATTACTGCAAATTCAAATCTCACCAGGCTCAAGGTTGACTCAGCCTTCCATCCTTTCGAGGTAGGTAAAATGAGGACCCGGTTTGTGGGGGCAATAAGTTGACTTTGTATAAAAAAGAACACCGCTTGGGGGGGCCGAAAGCCCTACTAAGCAGGTATATACAAAAGTATGAAGGCTATTGCTTAACGCATTGTAAGCCACCCTGAGTCTCCGGGGAAGGGCAGCATATAAATCGAACACATACATACATACATACATACATACATACATACATACATACATACAACGGTCTGGGGTCACACATCACACTAAAGAAGAGGTTTATAACCTGATCTGGTCTGAAGGTGACAATCGTTTTTTAAAAAGATTTTCTATGGGCTAACTCCAGAAAGCACTAAATCAACGCATCTCATTTATTTTGTGAGTTTTAGGTTTTTGTGCGTTTTGAATCAGGACTCTTGGCAACTTCCTGAACTAGTCCCTACTGTTTTCTTGATTTCTCCAAAATTTTAGAAATGATTTGCCATTTACCTAGGGCTGAGACAGAACGATTGGCCCAAGATCACCCAGATGGCTTCATGCCTAAGATAGGAGTCTCTTGGTTTGTAGCCCAGTGCCTTCCCCACCACACCAAACTGGCTCTTTGATTTTGTTTACCTTTTATTAAAATTAAATGTATGTAGTAGTAGAGTATGATAGCAGCATCAGGCTGATTTTGTTTGGGCTTCTTCAGAAGGTAGGCAAGTCACACCTAATTAATAGTGGGATGATAGAGTTTCAGGAAATTTTTAGGAAATAAGAAAGCGAAGACAAATTACTACTTATTTTTTTTTCTATTAATGACTCTGTAATCCCTTGCTTTGGGGTGGAGTTGGGGAGGCTGAATGGAGCTGAGCGTTTACTGGCCGGATGCCCTTCCTGATGCCTACACGTAGCTCACAGCATATATTTTCTCGTTGCGCCTAAAGAGAGAAATATCTGCTGGCACCTAGGACCGAACTCACAGCCTCCTGACTGTGAGGCAAGAGCTCCAATTCTAGGCCACCATGCTGCTCACAAGTTACTACTGTATAACTGCATGAAATGATGTCTTGAAATCATTGGGAATTGAGACTTGAATTTATAATACAATTACTCCCTAGCTTAGTGTTTCCTGTTTATATCATGTTATTGGTTACAATTTTAGAACATGTTTTAGAAATCTATAAAAGCTGTATGCTTTTACCTGAGGTAATGCACCTCTGAATTAAATTGTAAACCCTATTTTGAAAACCACCATGACCAAGTTAGCATAATACCCCAAAAGAAACAATAGTATGCTTAGCTGGGTATGAAAATCCAGACCTCTTATTTTGAAAATACTGAAACTACTATTCTATAGCCTTATCTCTTATGTAGTCTTCAATATGAAGGAATTGCCTTCCATTTTCAGCAAATTGTTTCTGTGGGTACCAGAGCAAAAAACAAGTATCTTTTAAATGACAAGAATTGCCACACTTGTTCTAGTTGCAGAACAAAACTGTCTGAAGGCTACATTTGGGGCAAATATTGATTGACCTTTTAAAATGTGTTTTAGAGCCATGGCTCTGTAAATCTGTTGTATCAGAACTAGTGGGATTTTCTCTGAATGTCTTTTAAAGTGTGTTTCATCTTGATTTGCCATGATATATATAGCTGTTGACATGAACATTAACAAAATTGAGTTGAACTCTAGTCCAGAGCAATGATAGAATTTTCCCCCTAAATTGCTTGAGCCCAAAGCACTGTTTCTCCTCCGATCATCTCTAGTCAACCAAGGGCACCTTATTATATAGATTGATCACTTTCATGACTCAAGAAGAAGAGCAGAGAAGATCCAGGGGACCTAGAAAACATTGAATATATTTAGTATAAGAATAAATGTTTTAAAGTTGTATAATCCGACAGATCCTCATTGTTTAAAGATCTTGGACCAACCCCCTACACCCCCCCCCCCAAAAAAATTGTCCTGTCCTCAAGATGTATGAACAATTTTGCATTGTGATTCACTACAGCAGTTGGCAATTCTGAAAATTCAGATGCAGTATATCTATTGTGTACCAGCTGGACAAAGCTGTTCTAGATAATCACCCCAAAGCCTGCTCGTTGTTTTAAGCAGATCTTTAATCCAGGATCTCCTGTGCTATGTGACATGCCATTTTGAAGTCTTGTTCCTTTAAAAATAACTTGCAGTGTACCATATAAGGTCACAGCATCTGGAAGTATAAAGGTAAAGGTTCTTTTAACGTAACGGAGCTCACCCCATTACACGGCACTAGGGATTCAAACCACTGAACTGCCGACTTTACAAGCTCAGCGTCTTAGCCACTGAGCCACCGTGTCCCTATAGATGAAAGTATATAAAAGTCCTAAGGCATTCTAGATTAGGATGAAATTACTAACAAGTGAGCAGCTGAGGGGTAATCTAAGCAATTGTAAAGAATAAGTCTTTGTTTCAATGAATAAGGTAGAATAGAAATGAATTGTGTTAGAAAATGAGGAAATGTATGTAGCATACAAGCCAGAAATTCATAGGTATTATATATAGATGCTTTAGCCCAATCTTTGAACCATCAATCATTGGCGTGGTCTGTGCGAATACTGGAGGGAGATTGTGTTACTGAGACAGTGGCATTCTAACTCAACATTTTATGAGGTCTTGGTGTATCTCCTTCCAAAAAAAGGTGAAGAATACTGACATTTCATTAGATTTGCAGATGCAAGATTGCATTTATTTTAACGTTAGGAAAAGAACTATTTTTATTTAATTTTGGTATCTCAAAATACCACTTTAGATGAGTTAATTTGCAGCATGGTGCCCAGATGTTGCCAACCGTTTGCCCACATTGTGGCCTACAAAATCTACAGTGACACTTGGCGGTCTGCATAAAATCAAGGCTTGAGGGCCAGGACTCATGGTTAAGAGTCACATTCTTGTAAAAACATAACTCAATGCCTGTGTATTCATTTGGTACCACAATGGACTCTGGAGTGTCCTTCTGAAAAAAATAATGTATGATACTATGGGCAATGAGGATGTGAAGAGCTTCTAAGAATGCATTTAGTTAAACCAGCCTTCTTTGCATTTAGGTTGATGTTAAATCATAGCACACACACTGTGTCTAAAGGACAAGATTAGCTGGACACGTTCTCCATTTCTTCCTGTGTTTTATATCCACAAGTATCGAGTAATTAAAGAGAGCTTTAGAATACCAGTATGTATGGTTCACATAACTTGATTAGCGACTTGTTCTCTGAAGGTCCAGTTGACGGATAAAGTTGAAGTAAGAGATCAAAATTATGAAATTTCCATCTGTAGAAGGTGTTGATACCCTCCACATCCCAGCTAGAGGAAAAGATCAGGATGCTCATTGGAGTATATTTGATTAATGACATAGATATAAAAGTTTAAAGGTTTCCCCTGTCCAATTGTTATTGACTTAAGGGGGCAGTGCTCATCTCCAGTTCTCTGAAACACATTTCCAACATCATGAGGACAGCATGAAAATATGGAACGCAGTAATCTTTCTTGCCGAAGCAGAAACTATTTACTTAGTTGCATTTGCATGCTTTCGAACTGCTATCAAATAAATTCTGGATTTCACAAGCTATTTTCTAGGGTTTTCAACAATGGTTTTTCCTATAACATTTTTTGTAGCCAGATTGAAAAAGTTTGGGGGAAAAGAAATTGTAGATGGCATGGTTTCTTTCTAAAATTGCAGACTAAAAAAGAAAAAAGAAAAGCTTTCTCCAAATGATCTTTTCTTTTCTCTTTTGCCATTTGCTTTCTTTCTTTTTTTTAAGTCTTCAGCTTTTCAATTTTGTTAAAAAATAAAAAGAAATCCCTGGGTAATGCTCAGACTAGGAAAGAAGGGGACAGTCTGTTGGGTTTGGAGGTGGACAGGGTGCTATGTAAATATTTATTTCACAATTTGGAGAATGAAGTGTTGGTTCCATCTTTTGCAAAACTGCAAAAACCATCAGCTAGTATTTGAGAAGGGGAAATATATTTAGATAGTAAGCAGCAAGAATAATAATTGGGTTTCCTTATAAAGCTAAAAGATCCCTTTGAAAGTTTGAGCAAATAAAAACAAGAAGAAAAAATGTCACTTTTAAAATCAAAAGCAGCATCTAACAGCAAAGGGTAAGAAACAGGAAAAAGAAAAACTGTTAAGATCCGTAGGTTTTGCCCTGATTTTTGTGGAAAGGGGAAAATGTGTTGGATCCCATACTTGCAAACTCAGTGTGTATGGGATTTATTTTTCAATATTTTTATTAAGATGAGAAGGGTAGCTCGTTCTGTGTACTCTAAGGCAGGAGACTGGTTGAACAGAGAAGAACTTTGAAGAATGTCCTTCTACAATTTAACACAGAGGTGCTGAAGAATGCTGTATGGGTAGTCCTCAATTTACGACCACAATTGAGCCCCAAATTTATGTTGTTAAGTGAGAAATTTGTTAAGTGAGTTTCGCCCCATTTTATGACTTTTCTTGCCACATTTGTTCGATTGATTCACAAGTGAATCGCTGCAGTTCTTAAATTAGTAACATGGTTGTTAAGTGAATCTGGTTTCCCCATTGACTTTGCCTGACAGAAGGTCACAAAGGGGGGTCATGACCCCCTTGACCCAGGGACACTGCAACCGTCATCAATGTGAGTCAGTTGTCAAGCATCCGAATATAAACCACGTCACCAGGGGGAATGCTGCAATGGTTGTAAGTCATTTTTTCCCCCCAATGCCATTGTAACTTTGAATGGACGCTAAATGAACTGTTGTAAATCGAGGACTACCTGTATTTTCCTGTCAGGAGAAATGCTCAAAATGTAGCTCATCCACCCATTTAAAAACTATTCCTATCCCTTTCAGACAATGGATAATTAATACGGTAGGCACCTACTGGAAACGAGGATTCTTCTCTATGATGGTGTAATGGGACAACCTGTCCTGCATTATCACTGTGTACATCTTCTCAGGCTCAACATTTCCGGTTATGGTTGATTCAGTTTCTAGAAATTCTAGTCAATATGTCTGCTGATTCTATTAACAGCCTATTTCCCAAGTTGAAGTCCTAACACTTCTGAAGGACTTCAGTCTGGAGAAGACTGTTTTCAGAGAAAGGTTTCCTTGCTCTTCTCTAGTGGAAGAACTTAAAAGTTAGAATTATGCAACTAGATGCCCAAGAGGACTTTACAGTACCTGCATTTCTCTCTCTCTCTCTCACTCTCTCTCTCTCTCTCTGTATAGTACAAATAGTTCTTTTCTTCAAGAGGGCTGAGAACAACTTAAATACTCTGCTGCCCCCACCCATCCATAGAACTTGAGAGCTAGGCAGTGGTGGGTTTCAAAATTTTTTACTACCGGTTCTGTAGGTGTGGCTTGGTGGGCGTGGCAGGGGAAGGTTACTGCAAAATCCCCATTTCCTCCCGATCAGCTGGTACTTGGGAGGCAGAGAATAGATGGGGGCAGGACCAGTCAGAATTTTTACTACCGGTTCTCCGAACTGCTCAAAATTTCCGCTACCGGTTCTCCAGAACTGGTCAGAACCTGCTGAAACCCACCTCTGGTGCCAGTTTTTTTTAAATTGGATTGTGGCTACAAAGAACAGACGTGTGGAAGCCTTTAAAACTCACCTTTAGTTTTAAATTATAAATGAAAACATGGTAAAAAAAAACAAAAAAAAAACAATGAAGGACCATAATGGTACTCTGCAGTGTACCGACATTGAAAATCCAAGAATCCCATTCTGTATTGATCTAATTCTCAGAACAGATGACATCATAATATGGTTGCCTGGTTTTGATTTAGCATGTCCAGTCATTATGGTTTGTAAACAGTAATTTATAGTTTACCATGTCATTGAACCCACCAGTATGGGTTACTTTAATGGCTAGAATGTTGCATGAATCTCGCCAATATTCTTTTGTCAAAGGACAACTGCCAGGATTATGCCTCTATTTTTTTTAATATGCTGATTTGAAGCATGTAGGACTTCCAAAAAAAGATTGTTGTAGTATTTTCCCCATGCAGTCTCTAATGCATAAATAATTATTTAAAAGTAACTGGCGTGGCAAACTTGCCTGGAGAAAGGCCAAGTTTGAATTCGTGCTCTGAAAAGCTTTGTGCGTGCATGTAGAGGTCGATATGCTTTTTGTACAGAAGCAAACCAATTGTATATTTGGCAACACTGGAGTTCTTTACAGAAGGGGTTCAAAAATGAAGGCAGCACCACTGTTGTGGAATTTTTAAGGCATGGGGGTATAATTTGTGTGTGTGTATACATGTGTGTGTGTATCGGGTTTCCCCGAAAATGCGACCTACTAGAAAGTAAATCCTAGCTTGATTTTTACACGTGAGCCCAATATAAGCCCTACCCCCAAAATAAGCCCTAATTAAGACCCCACCCACTCCAAGGTGCATAGGTAAAGCTAGGGTGGGGATGGGGGAGTGGAGCTGCCCTACTACTTACCTTCAGATAGTTGCAGCCAGGCCTCACACATCTCGGCCCATTTCTTTTGCTGCAGCCAGCAAGGCTTCCCTGAAGGCCTCTGTAGCCAATAACAGAGGTTCAGATCGATCCAGAGCTCTGTTATCGGCTGCAGAGACCTTCAGGAAGATCTTGCTGGATGAAGAAGTTCCTGAAGGCCTCTGATAGTGAAAAAGGGGCTGGGGGCGACGCATGCAAATGAGGTGAGTCAATGGATGACATCCCCCCCCAAAATAAGACCTGGTGCCTTTTTTTGGTGGCAAAAAAATATAAGACAAGGTCTTATTTTTGGGGAAGCATGGTACACACACACACATATACTTACATACATATTTATATATGTGTGTATGTATGTATAAGATCTCTTCTATTCAATTTTTGATTTCTGCCTGGACTGGTCTTTATTGGCAAAGTTTTTGGGAAGTGGTTTCCCATTGGCTCCTCCTTGGGGCTGAGAGAGAGTGACTTGCCCAAGGACTGGCCTAAATTCACAATCTCCCAGTTTCTAGCCTAAGGTCTTAATCAATATCCCAAACTGACTATTAATTTATTTTTGACCATATTGACAATGACTGTCACCTCCAGCATGCCAAAGACACCAATGTTTCTGTATATTGTTAGGATGACTTAGTGACGGGTATATTGCTTGTCCTCCAATTTTTATTTTTATTTTTTTTGTAAGAGAACCTAATTAAGCTTAAAAGGAACCCCAAAGCTCTCTAGATCTTGATATGATCATTGCTTCTTGACCCTTCACACTTGCAACCCAAGTCTGTTTATTTTGGTCTGTTTTTCCCGTAAAAAATGTTACAAGTGCGTGGAATAAATCAGTTTTCCCTCCAGGCTCTTTGTCTTCCATGTCTTCCAAAAATTTATTCTCCACGATTGGAAAAACGGAGCATGGTAGTCTCTGCAATGAGAAGCTGAGAATATTGCTTGTTTCTGGTGTGACTGTAAGAAATATATGTGTGCTTTCTCATTTCAGGTTGAAAAAAGCAGGAATTGCCTTTGAAAACATGTTTGAGGAAGTCCCCATTAACATCAGGAACTCCTACCTGATCAATGTTCTTCTTTGGGAGCTGGAAAAGAAGTCAGCAGTGGTAAACAGACATGAATTGCTCAGCCTCGCAAGCAAGTAAGTGTTGATTTGAAATCAAAATGCAGTATGTGCTTCTCATCTTTAGTTGAAATCATTGTAGAAATGAGAGGACAATCATTTCAGAAATGTCATCATTTTGAATTAGAATAGAATAGAATAGAATAGAATAGAATAGAATAGAATAGAATAGAATAGAATAGAATAGAATAACAGAGTTGGAAGGGACTTTGGAGGTCTTCTAGTCCAACCCCCTGCTTAGGCAGGAAACCCTACACCACTTTAGACAAATAGTTATCCAACATCTTCAAAACTTCCAGTGTTGGAGCATTCACAACTTCTGGAAGCAAGTTGTTCCCACTGATTAATTGTTCTGTCAGGAAATTTCTCCTTAGTTCTAAGTTGCTTCTCTCTTAGTTTCCATCCATTGCTTCTTGTCCTGCCCTCAGGTGCTTTGGAGAATAGCTTGACTCCCTCTTCTTTGTGGCAGCCTCTGAGCTATTGGAACACTGCTATCATATCTCCCCTAGTCCTTCTTTTCATTAAACTAGACATACCCAGTTCCTGCCACCGTTTTTCATCTGTTTTAGCCTCCAGTCCCCTAATCATCTTTGTTGCTCTTCTCTGCACTCTTTCTAGATGCCTTATAATGCCTTGGTAAAGCCACACTTGGAATACTGCATTCAGTTTTGGTCCCCACGATGTAACAAAGATGGAGTCTCCACATCTTTGTTACATCGTGGTGACCAAAACTGAATGCAGTATTCCAAGTGTGGCCTTACCAAGGCATTATAAAGTGATATTAACACTTCACGTGATCTTGATTCTATCTCTCCGTTTATGCAGCCTAGGACTGTGTTGGCTTTTTTGGCAGCTGCTGTACACTGCTGGCTCATATCCAAATGGTTGTCCACTAGGACTCCAAGGTCCCTCTCACAGTTATTACTATTGAGCAAGGTACCACATATACTGTACCTGTGCATTTTGTTTTTCTTCCCTAAATGTAGAACCTTACTTTTTTCACCATTGAATTTCATTTTGTTAGTATTAAATTGACAGAAAATATAGGCTAGATGCTTGGAGAATTTCACCTGGTTATTACAAAAAGAGAGGCATTTGGATCATGTTTCCATCAATTTCATACTAACTCAGAGAGAGAATTGTCATCCAACTCTTCCAGAGGATAGCATATTGGCAGAAGCCAATTTGACTTCAGAGTGATTTAACAGATATGGGTAAGACATCAATTAGGATTTTAAAGTTCAAGATGGCTTTTGTAAGTGACAGAATTATGCACAAAATGATTCAACTTACATCTTAGACTGCAGTTTCTCTATTTTCCATTCATATGAATTGTGCCTCTCTCTCCTTTTCAACACATTTATTTTCCTTCAGATAAAATGCTTTTTTTTTTTTTTAATCTCAGGCTTTCAAATCAGTTTCTTTGTAAGAGACCTTTTCACTGAGAATACTTTTCTGGCCTTTTTTTATATTCCTAAAAACAAGATTTGAAGAATATCCTTTGGCAACTTTCTACAACTTTATGTGTCCATATATGATGGGTTTCCAATTACATTATCACTCAAACAGCCTGCCATTGGCTGTGCTAACTGTGGATTATGAGAAAGTCCAATAGATATAGAGGTCACTAGTGTGAGGAAAACTGTTTTACAGAAGAAGTTGAATATTATATAATTGACACTCACAAGAGACCCCATATTATAAACATGTTGGTTGCCTTCAGTTCCATTCTAGAACAGTAATGGCTATACCTGTAAATTCGTAGATAATACCTCTTCAAATTATCAGTCAATAATCATAATCATAGATTATTTCTAGATTTAATCATGTATAAATTGCAATTCCAAATCAGCTCTTAATCTAATTTAACATCCTGATGATTTGGCACACCACTTCAGTATACATCTTCTGTTCATCAGCATTTTGAATTTGTCCAATAAGAGAACACATGTTATCTCTTCAGTTGCATATATATTAGCTTACATTTTAAAAAAAGCACAATCAATTGAAACTATAGGTAACTATAGGACATATTAAAAACCCGCCACAAAATTAAGTTCCAATTTGTCTGTGAAATCTAATATTCTGAATTGCAAATATAAATGAGTCGGTACCGGAAAAGTCTGTCTCAGAAGATTTTTTTTCCAAATCATAGACGCCCTAACTGGAAAAATTTTCTGTCTTGTAGTACCCATTGTGGGGTCCTTGTTGCTCTCTGATCTTGGTTGTTTTCTTGCAGACGTCTCATTACCCAAACTAGGTAACATCATCAGTGCTGATGATGTTACGTACTTTGGGTGATGAAACGTGCAAGAAAACAACCAAGATCAGAGAAGAAGCACCATGGACTCCTCATATCAACCCTGAGTTACAAATATTAGCACCCACTGTATTTTGTTCTAAGAAGACTTCCTTCGGAAAGGCCTGTAATACTGCACAATATTCTCTTTGACACTTTATTGAATAACAGTACTAGTTGTTGAGCATGTTTGCCTTGGATAATGAAGGGGGGTCCATGGATTGCATCTTTGCTGCTTGGCCATTGTGGTTGGGACTGATCGGATTGTGAGTCCAACTTCATGCAGAGTTCCATTTCATACACTACTGTTCCAGCTGACCATAATCCACCCAGAATCTTATCTGTTTTGTTAAGCAAATAAACAGCCATTAAAAATGGGAAACATTACCAAAGAAATTTGATATTTTGAGTACATGGGAATTTTCCTTTTAGTGAAGGTTTGCATCCTCATGAGATTAAAATATCACCAATTCTCAAGTGATTGAACAGGAAATTGACTCTTATCTTCACATTACTTTTTTTGTAAAAACAATGAGAACTTGACAAGGGTTATTTTGTGTATCTTTCTTGTTTTCACTGCCCAAAAACCTTCAGCTCCCAGTTCAGCTCCCTTAACCTATAATAAAGTCAACACGAAGTTAAGAATTTCCATAATGATTTCAGCAGGACAGATGATAATCATGTTCTTCAGTTTATCAACTTTTTTTTTTCAGGCTGGTTCTTAAATTTTCAACATCTAATGTATCATTTTCTGCTTGTTTTATTTTTTTTTCAGTCTTCCAAGTCCTAGTGGAAGCACAAACTGAAATAATATAAAATA